TTTTTTTTTTTTCAAAAAGATTTTAACAAAGAAATGATGACAAATGTTAGCTCCACTATGCTTTCTTCATAAATTCTTCATTAGAAAACGAAAATTTTTTCTTTTGAAAAGCATAGATGACAATAAAGAGCCTAAACTAGGCCAAGATTTATGGCTAATAATTTAACTTGCAATCCTTTTTTTAAACGAATCAAATTCTTTCAGTTTTTCTCTTTTGTTCAAACTTTTTTTTTTTTTTTCTTTTTATTGAATTCACAACCATTATTACTTCAACAACCTTTCAATTAAGATACAATTTTCAAAAAGAAAAAAGAAAAACTCTTGGGAATTGTTAAGAAAGAATTGTGCAAAAAAATATTTTTTGAGTGTTTGAAATTCTAAATAAGTGTAAAATAATTTTTACACACCTTTTTTTCTTTTTTTTTTTTTTATCAATTTTACATCCAAAAAATTTTCAAAAATCCATTTGTGAATGAAAGAAATGACAAAAATCTTAAAAAGATAAAATATTTATAATTTTTAAAATATTGTTAGTTACTTTTTTTTCTCGCATAGTAGCAGTGATTGGAAAAATTTCTTTCAGATTTTTAAATTTTTTGTAATAATTTTTTTTTCCTAATAATTCTATTTTTAATTTTGATAAAATTTATTTAGTAAGATAAATGCTAGCAAACGAATGCTAATGAAATCGAAATTCGTCCATATTTTAAAGAAATTGAACTGAAATGGTACTGAAAGATTTGAAGTACCATTTTTGGACAAAGCACTTCTGCCTAGTCTACTTGAGACACTAGCATGTCACTCGTTGTAATGAGGGAAAGAATAATCTTATGACAGATGTTTAACAAATGAATTAGTGCTCTTGAAAATTGTCTTGATGTGTTTGCTTACATAACCTGAATAACACTTCCGGTTCCGGAAGTGTTATTCAGGTTATGCCTCATCTTGGCATTTTTCTTTTCCGGCCAAATTTTTTTTGTTTTTTTTTTTTTTTTTTTACCTTTATTTTCTCTTATCAAATATTAGCTAAGCTAATAATTTAATTGCGATTATGAGATAATACGATATAATTATTTAAATTTCGCTTTCTTTTTTTTTTTGTGAATTAGAATTTCTTATTTTGAAAATTTTCAATTTATTAAATTTGCTGCTGAATCAGCTGGCTTCAAAAAATTTGAAATATTTTTACCATTTTTTTTCTCTTTCTTTGAATTATTCTATGAAATATTTTGCAAATTACTGATTAGATAGAATGAATTTACAAAAATAGCTATTTATCAAATCAGTATTACCAATTAAGCAGAATTTTATTTTATTAAATTACTTCTGTTTGTAAAAATATTTCATACTTTTTCTCATTTTTCTTACTTACTTTTTCATTCTGATAGCAAAAAAAAAGGAAACGAAATCTTCCATTTAAATTGTTCTAACCAAAAAACAAAATAAAATAAAATGTATTTTTGACGATAAGTATCGATAATCTTTGCATTTATACTTTTACTACTTGATTAAAATACTTATTAAGCATTTTATGACAGATATCGTTTTGATCTTTTTTCTTTTTTTTTCATTCAACAAAAAATTTTTTTAATTTCTTTTTTCTTTGTCTCATTTAATTCATTCATTTTTATCAATTGTCTTTCTAATTTTTAAATTTTTTTCTAAATTTGAATGTAACACAATTTGCGATAAGCAAAAATGAAAGGAAAATTTTGCATTGCTAACAATTGATAAGAACTGATAATAGCTGATTATTTCATGATACTTATCTTCTTAAAAGCTTTAGCATAGATATCATAAATATTTTTAAGTGTTGCACTGATTTAATTATTAAATTATGTAAAATATAAAATTAATAAAAATATGCTAATGTAGCGTCAATTTTAACAAGTTTACTTTAGAAAAGTATTGTAAGTTAGGTAAATTTTTTTATTACAAAAGTATTGATGAGTAAATTAACTAGCAAAAATTTTATCATTTCTTAAAAAATAAAATAAAACAGTTAAAATTGACAAAATTAGTTCTGACAATTGCGCCCAACTTCCGTATCATTTGTCACAATGAAATTTCTTTACCAATTAATTATTTCATTTATTATCACAAAAATTCCTTTTCTACTATTACACAAAAATGATTCGAAATTGTTTGTTCGTTCGTTCTTTTTTATCAATTACCATTTTTAATTGTATAAAGCACAATTTTATAGTTTTCATTCTTTAATTCGTTTATGTTTTTTTTTTTTTTTTTTCAAGACTTTTAAATTTAAAATTTTCAAATTTCAATTATTTGTTTTTTTTTTCTAAGCATATTTAAATTTGATAACTAAAATATATCCATTGAAAGTTTCATATATTAGTGTAAAAGATTATTTCTCAAATAAACTTTAGCAATAAATTCAAATGAAATTTTCTTTTTTTGTAAATTTCAAATTGACGAAGATACTTTTGATATAAATATTTGATAAATCGTGAAGTGATTTTTTTTTTAAGTGTCAAATTTGTTTATTATGCAAAATAAATATATAATTCAAAAATGGTAGGGAAAAAAAAAAAACAAATTTCAAATGATAAATGATTGATGAATTCAGTTGCTAAAAGTTAATTGAATAGTTTACACATTTTGCGCCTTCATTAACGCTGATTTGTTAGAATTCTTATGTAAATCATTAATCCAAATTCAATTACTATGTTAAATTTAAGTAATACAGAATTTTGGAATTATTAACTGCTTAATCTAACATTTCAATAAATCAAATAATATATAACTAATAAGTATAAATAGTTAATTCTATCTTTAATATTATTTTAAATTAGTATAAATCTGAGTTAGTATAATTTTAAAGTTAAATTCTCAAAAATACCAAAAAAAAAAAAATGATTCATCTTCATTTTTATTTTATAATTTATTTTATATCAAATTAATTATTTTATTTTATATCAAATTAATTTTTACAAACTAACTATTGTATCTTAAATTTTTTATTTTATATCAAATTAGTTTTGCAAACTAATTTTTGTATCTTAAAAATTTTCCGTTAAATAATTCTATTCAAATCTAATAATAAATAACAATGTTTTTTTTTTTTTTTAAAAAAAAAAAAAAAAAAAAGAATGCTAAATGATACAAATTGCTAATGCATGCATCTGCATGCATTTAGGTTTGCTTGAAATACCATAAATGATTTATTTAAAAAAAAAAAAAAAGAGAAAAATTCCATTTCAAATTGAATTCCCAAATGATTCACCGGGAAAAATTGATACTCTTTTGCTAGATAGCTCTACATAAATAGTAACTAACGAATAAATTTTTACTCTTTTCATATTTTTCATTTTGATATTTATGCAAAAAAAAAAAAAATAAATAAAATTTTAGTAAGGCTGTTAGCAAATGATAAATTTTATTTATTTTCTGTTAAGCTTAGCAAAACTTAGCAAAGCTTACGTCATTTATGTCATTTGTCAACCCAACATTAATCATTTTAGGATGAGATTACAATTTGTAAATTGAGCAATGCTAATCATTAAGTAATAAAAAAAAAAAAATATTTAAAGTATAAATAAGCTATTATCATATTAATTAAATTTTAAACAAATAAATGTGAATGTTTTGAAATTTTAGCAAATTAGTATAAATATTTAGCTAATGAAGCATTTTGCATATTCTTTCTTTGTTTTTTTTTTTTTTTTAAATAAAAGTTTTTATGCTACTTTTTTTTTTCTCAATTCTTTAGCAATGAAAAGAAAAAAAAACATTTTTTAGTTTTAATTTTGAAATTTTATGAAAAAAAAAATATTTTAGAATGTTAAATTAACAATGTTTCTAAGCTTAAAATTGTTAGCTTAATTTTTTTTTAAATTTGATTTATCTATTAAATCTATTTGGATGAAAGAGAAAAATAAATATAGAAAATGATGATAAGGCTAATCTTTGGAGCAAGCCTAAACATCAAACAAAATTATCACTGATTAAATTACAATCCGATTTTCATTTCTTTCTTCATTTCATTCTCCGTACTTCTCTCTCTCTCTCTCTTTCGTTCCCTTTCCCTCTCTCTCTCTCTCTCTCTCCTTCACCATTTCCGAAATCTTAGCCAAGCCAATTCTGTCTTCACTGAAAACGGTTCATTAGCCCAGTCCTATTAGCTTGGCTGTCCCAATCACAAAATTGTTTAACCCTTGGATCGCTATTAATAATACTTTTTCTCTTCCGTTGAAATTACTCATCGAAATTTGCTTGTCTATTTGTCGCCTATTTTGGCTAACTTTTCACTATTTTAATAAACCAAATTAAACGATTGACAATTTTCTTTTTTTTTTTTTTCACAAAAAAATTTTTTTGTGAAATTAAACTTTTTTTTATTAATTAATGTAAAAGTTAAACAAAAAAAAAAAAAAAAAAGAAAATGTAAAAAAGAAATACTAAAAATGCTAATTGAAATTCGATTAAAGCGCATATTGCTAATAAAAGCTAAGCTAATTTGGTCATCAATTTAGTCGTTTAATTTTTTTTTTTTTTTTAAAAACTAAATTTTAGAAAAAAAATTCTAAATTTCTATAATATAAATTTTATAGTGGTAGAATGTGAATGAAATATTTAATGCGTAATTCTAAATAACATTCTTAAAAAAGTCAAATAATAAAAAAATTTTGAATTGATGAAAATTTTTGTAAAATTTTAGAAGAAATTTGTTTACACTAAATAAATGATATCAAATTTTGAATTAAATCAAAGAAAGAAAATAAATTTGATTTTATTGAATAATTTATTTTTACATTTCCATTTTTTCTTGTTTCTTTATTTTTGGAATAAAATAATTGAATTAACTTTTTTTTTTTAAATTAAAATTATAACAGATTTTTCATATAATTATATTTTTTTTAAATTTATATATTTACTATGCAATTATCGTATATTTGCATTTATCATCTAATTAATTAAATTTTAATTAATTGATAAAGTTATTGCAGCGATAGAGGAATGTTTACTATTATTATTTTGTGATGGAATGTGAATGCATATCACCGCCACCGGAATTTGATATTCCATCACCGCCGGATCCGTCATTGATATGGCATTTGCTTTCTGATGAATTTGTTACTGATGAATTTACACAGGTTTTTTTCAACTTTTTTTTTTTTTTTTTTTAAAACTTATTAAATTACCAAAAAGTTATCAAAGTTTTTTTTTTTTGTTTGTTTGTAAACTATCAAATATCGAACATAAATAATTTGGTATAATGAATTTATTGTTGTTTAAATTAGTAAACATTAAAATTTTTCATTAATAAAATTGTTAAAAATTCATTTTATTATAAGAGTATGAATAATTAAAAATTACATTTGTAATATTTATTATTGAATAATATATAAAGTAAAAAGCATTTCTTTCTTATTCTTTAAATATTTTCAATGTTTTTTTTTTATGATTAATCAAAAAGAAAAAGAAAAAATCTTAGAAATTGTATAAAAAAGAAAAAATGGAATTAGTAGGCTTAGAAAAAATTATTAAAAAAAAAAAAAAGAAATGGGCATATGTTATTTTTAAAAAAAAAAAAAATTGAAGAAAAAAATGATTAGAATTAAATATGTATATGTAAATTAACATCTGCATATTATTATTATTATTTTTTTAAACTAATTTGCTATGTAAAAATATTAGATAATAAAGTTAATGAAAAAAAAAAAGTATTAAATGAAAATTGTTGTATAATAGTTGCAAAATAAATGTTGCATATTGAAAATAATAAATTTAATAAAATAATAAAAAAAAAAAATATAAAAATATTGTAAAAAATTATTTTTTTCGAAATTAGAAATTTGAGTGATAAAAATTTAGTTTTTTTTTTTTAAAAAACTTTTTAAACTATTAAATTTAAATGACAAAAATAGGAAATGAATTAAGTAAAATAATGTGTAAAATGACAAAAAAAAAAACTTAGTTTTTTCTCAAATTTGAAAATTTGAATGACAAGAATTTGATAAATTTTTTTTTTTTTTTAAATTTAGAAATTAAATGATAAAAGTGAAGTAGATTAAATAAAATATTAATAAAAGAAATATAAAAATATAAGAAAAAAAATCTAGTTTTTTTTTTTTTTTTTGAATTTAAACATTTGAATAATAAGAATAAAATGAATTAAATTTAAAATATAACCAAAAGATAAAAAACTAAAAAATTTTTCAATTACTAATTTTTAGATTCAACAATGTGATGCTAATGAAAAAATACAAACACAAAGTGAAGTGTCACTGATATTTTCAAATTTATCAAATTATCTCTTATATGCCTTATTTGCATCCGGTGTGCTAATTTCTGCTGCCTTATTAGTTATTATTATTTGCATTCGAATACGAAGGTTTGATTAAATTTTATCAAATTATTTCAATTTTTTTTTATTATTTGTAAAATTTATTTAAAATTAATTACCAAAAAATTTTTTTTATAAGAATTTTCACCAAAAACAACAAAAAAAAAAGGAAAGAAAAAAAGGACAATTATGAAAAATTATTTAATAATAAATAGTAGAATTGATTAGAGTTAAAAATGTATAAAAATTTACAAAAACAAAAAAAAAAAAAAAAAAAAACAAAAATTTTTTAGACGAATTTATGTAAAAAAAGAAAAAAAGACAATTATGAAAAATTATTTACATAAAAGAATGATTTAACAATAAATATAAAAGTTAATTAAAATTGTGTAAGCAAATAAAAATTATCCATTTCTTATTTTTTAATTCTATTACAAGCATCGTTGATGTGCTATTTTAGCTTTAATTTATCACTTGTCTTAATTTATATTTGCTAATTATCAAATTTTGGCTAATTAATGAGAAGTGATTAGGTAGTCAATTCTTATTACCATCTATTTACCATATCAATAAATCATATTTGCGTGCTTCTGCTATTTTTATTGTTATTGTTTGTTGTTGTTGTTGTTGTTGTTGTTGTTATTTGGGTTTGCCCATATATATTTTACCCGATACTGATCCATATGCTTTCTTGATTTATGGACAATGATGAATGATGTGTATCATCGAGAAGAGAGATGGTTTATTTATCATCATCCAATGTCACCAATTCTCCCAAACTGTAATATAATATAAATATTAGTCACTTATCAGTATAATTTTATCTATCATACATTAATGTTATCACTTATCAAAAAACAAAAAAAAAAAAAAAAAATTAATAAATGATTTAACATTTTGTTTTTTTTTTAAAAAAACAAAAAATTAAAAATATATTGAAGAAGAATTAAAAAAATACAAAATTTTTCAAACAATTTCAACTTTCGTAAAATTTCAAAGAATTTTTTTTTTTTAAAAATGTATTGAAAATGAAGTAATTGCCATTTAAATTATTGAAAAGTAATTGTTACTAAATTTGCCTTTCATAAATATGTAATTATCATTTAAATAATCAATAAATAAGTCAATCTAAAAAGATATTCCAGCCAAAAAATGCAATTGAAAATATGCCAAATGCAGAAAGAAGCGGAAATGTCTGGCATGCATTTTCGCATCTTATTTCATTTTCATTTTTAAAGCACAGTTTTCTTTTTTTTGCTATTCAATTAATTTCGTTGTGACATTACAAATTCATACTAAAATGTTTGAGCAATCAAATTTGCTAACAATTTACATTCAGAAGCATATCGAATTTTTTTCTTTTTTTTTTTTTGGAAATGATTTTATTTTGGTTTGCTTTTAATAAGATGATCTCTGATCTGTGTAGCTCTAATAGCATGACCTTTGATCTGTTTAGCATTAATAAGATGACCTTTGATCTGTGTAACATTACAATAATTAGAATAAAATATATCTGAGCTAATTTATTTTAGCAGTTTTAATATTATTTTTTTGATAGCATTCATCAAAAAAATTTTGTGAAATATTTCACTATTAACCTATTCAATAATTTGATCTATCTTTCCCAATTTTAGATCATTTCCTAATTAATTACTCATTTAGAGGAAACAAATTCAAGTACTCTTTATTAAGTAACTCATATGCATACATTTTATTTTGTAATTAGCTTATTTGAATGAGTTCAAATTGTTGTTATTGAAAAATTCTTGCATGCAACATGCATGTAACATTAAATATTCGTGCTGCATGATGAAAATGCATTTTATTTTGCAATTTATAAAATATTGAAAAAGTAGTTAATTCATAAATTTAAAAATGGTTACTTTTCTCGTTTACCATTAAATTCTATCCTAAAAATGTCGATTTAAATTTAAAACTATGTTTTGTTTAATTTTTATATATTTAAGAAAACAAAATGATAAATCGATTTTTTTTTTCCTTATCAATTCATTTCATTCATTATTTGGAGTAATTTTATTACTTCCTCTTTTAGTTTTGAGAAAAAGATTATTATCAAAAAAAAAAAAAAAAAAAATGAAAAAAAGAATTGAAAAATATTTTAGATCTATTTTTTTCTCGCATCAATAATTAGGTGAATTATAAATTTTCAAAATGGATGAATAAAATAAAATATTGAATTAATAGTTAGTTTATAATGATAATTTTATTAAAAGAAATAATCAAAATTTTAAAGTTTAATTATATTTTTTAATAATTATGAAGAAAACAGCAATTATTTAACTTTCATTTTTCTTTTTTTTTTTTTTTTTAGGTTTAATCGAAATGGACGAGCAAAAATGAAACGAAAAACGGAATTTTCGGCAGATATAATATTGAATAGCAGCGATTGGCCATATACCACAACAATTCATGATAGTAATTCAGTGATAAATGGTGATTTATTATACGGGTCCACTGAGAATAATTTTATGAAGCATAAAGCTATTCGGGTCACTTCAAATTCGCTAAGGTTAACCTTTAAATGATCAATTTTATCAATCGATTGATTAATTTATGAATGTGAAATATTTAAACTTTTATTAATGCATTTCGATTATAATGAGAATAACCTTTTAATGAATATTAGATGTTTAACAGTTTCAATCATTTTGCTTTAACTAAGTGATAATTAAGTTTTTTTTTTTGGTTTAATTTAAATTTGACAAATTTTATCGATTATCATTTTTAATTGAGATTTTTTTTTTTTTCAATCACTCTACCATCAACTAAATGATGATTAAGCTTTTTTTTTTTTTTTTTTTTTTGGTTTAATTTAAATTTGATAAGCTTTATCGATTATTCTTTTTTAATCGAGATTTTTTTTTTCTCTTGTAGGAGTTATCCGTGTCATTTAAATAAATTATCAACAAATTCGATGAGAAATTCATCGCTTCAGTCCGGACCGGTATTCCGGCTTCGTGGATCAACAGACGGTTACAGTACCATTGGAAGATTATATGAAGAAATTCCGGGAAATGAAATTTTCAATTCCGTACATGGTATAAAACATTCGGAAAACTCTCTAGCATATGTATCAAGACGAGAAGTATGAACTTTTGACCTCAATTATATTTGTTTTACAAAAATTTTTTTTCTTTACTTATTTTAAGTAACTTTTTTCTTTACTGTTTTGAATAGTTCGAAAAATCATTTTGAGAAGCAAAAATTTTCTAAATTAAATAAAATTGAAAATTTGGTTTCTTTTTTTTTTTTGAGTTTAATTACGATTTATTTTAATTATCAGTTTTCAGTTACTTAGTGGTTTGACATCAGTGCGAAGGCCACCACCAACATGTCGTCCACCGCCACCACCATCTCAGCATTCTCCGCTTAGTCTAGACTCATCCGGAAATTCAGCGGAAAAGGAACATGAAGAGCATGATGTAATGCCTGTTTCATCTCCGAAACGGTAAAAATTTTTTCATATTTAAATCTTTTTTTTTAAGTATTATGTGACAGTGAAAAAAATTTCGCTTCTTTTTCATTCTTTAATTCATAAAGATACTATAAATTTTTATTATATATATATATTTTTTTTTTCTGAAATATAACGGATTTATTTGTAACTAAATCAAAACTGTTAATTTTATTAGAAGTTATTTTATTTTATTTCTAACAGATTCAAAAAATAAAAATTTTAATTTAAAAGCTAAAGTTGAAATAATTAATATTGAAAAATAGACACAAAAAGAGGTATAATATATCAGTTTATTAAAAAAAAAAAAGTGATGTAACAATGATTTTACGTATAAATTTGAGTGAAAGTGTAAATTATTAATGTATTTTATATTTAATGAAATTTTATTAAATCAAAAATACATCTTATTTATAATTAAAAATGATAAAAAAGTGATTTTTTATAAATTTATAATGCAAAATTTATAATATTTTAATAAATTATTGAAGTACATTAAAATTTAATCGCAGATAAAATTGTTAATTAATTGAATTTATAATGCAAAATTACAAAGTTATATTTATATTATCATATTTATATTATCATATTTTTATTTTTTAAATTGAAAAAACTTTTTCTTTTCTCTTTTTTTTTTTTTTTTTTATTTATTCTTTTGTAGATGTAAAATTATGAAAATATTGTTGAATTTTTTGTACTAACTAATTTAAATTAACTATTACTGATAAGGATGTAAAATTTCAGTTTGACAGATGATGAAAAATCTCGAAATTCGGGTAATTCAGGTGACAATGGACATGAAAGTGGTTATGGTACTGCACCAAGTAGGTCGTGGAATAGTCCGCTGATAATGCATCAGCAAAAACGGTACTAAATTTATTTTAATGAGAAAAATCATTTTTAATTAACTGTTAAATTAATAGAGAAAAAATGTTAAACGAATATAACATTAATCTTTAGATCAAAAATTTCGATAAATTTTCGATGATAATAAATATCAAATTCAATTTCTTATATCTAATTTCATTTTTTTTTTTTTTTTTTTGATGATTAAATTTGCATTTAAATATTGAAATATTTCAGAATGATAATGAAAGAATCAGATGATGCATTTCATCGTCAAACACCGCTAACTATTTATGCTTATCGTAGTAGCAATACTCATCCAATAACTTATGTTTAATTTATTGTTTATACAATTATTTATTATTTGAATTGTATTTTTACATCATTTATTTTTCATTTCAAATTTTACAATTAACTTTGTATCAGTGTAGAATTAATAATGTTAAAGCATTCATTTTCATTATTTTTTTTTTTTTCAAAAATTTCAAAATTTTGATGGAATAAAATTTGACAAATAATAAAAATAAAATTTCTTTTTTTTTTTTGTCCATTTGTTGATAGAATTCAGTGTATGATTTCTTTTTTCTGTAAGTAATAAAACGTTGATGATTTGAAATTCTGTTGAAATATCTATTTTACAAAAAATTTACAGTAATTTTCATCGAGACAATTGTGTCAACCATTCCTGGTGACAGACAATGTTGTCACCGTTGAGAAGCAATGATGTGATAAATTTTCAATCACTCATAATTAACATTACATTAATTTTATAAAGCTATAAATTGTTCAAAATGAAATATAAAGTAATGTTTATTACTTAATGTCACAGCTGCTGTAGTCTATTTAGAATATAAATTAAATTAACTCTTTCAATTTCATTTCGAATATAATCAGAAAAATCATATAGAATTAAAAGTAAAACATTGAAATATTCAAATTTCAAGCAGATATTCAAATATAAAAGTTATAAAAGTAAAACATGAAATCTTGATCTATTAAATAATAATATATCACAATGAGTGACAATTATATGTGACATTTTTCAATCTACTTTTCAATCGCACATTTTAGATTCATCATTGAATCAGTGATAAGAGTGAATGAAATTATCATTAGATGTTGGATTAGAAATGATAAAGATTTTGGATTTTGGGGAAATATTTGAGAGATTTTGGGGGAATATTTGAGAGATTTTGGGGGAATATTTAGGAGATTAAATAATTGAAATAAATGTAAAACATTTTATTTTTCCTTACTGCTTTAAATGAATTCAGTTTTAAATTCAAAAGCATTAGATAAGGAATTATCAATAGAATTATCATGGAAGAACTTGAAATAAAATAGCAATATAAGAAAGTATTAATATATTTAAATTAAAGTTTTTCTTTTTCTGAGCAAACTTGTAATCATTTAAGTGATAATAAATCATTGTAAATCATATTATTATAGTGAATCATTGAAGTGATAATATGTTCAGATCAAAGTTTCCTTTTTGGTCAAATTTTGCGATCATATAAGTGATAATAAATTACTATAATATATATTTTATATTATTTTAGTGAATGATAAATGTTCTAAATTGAATTACAAATGTTTTTCAAATTTTTGAATTTGCAAATTTTAGTGCTTAAATATTAAAGTTAAATGAAGAAAAAAAAAAGAAGAAAAAGCTATTCCTTGCTAATTAATAGAATAATTTATTATTTATTCTTAAGATAGAATTGTTAACATTCATAGGAAATATACTATTATCAAATATTCTAGTCTATAATTGATTAAAATTATCATGCTAATATGCTTGAGATATGATAAGATAAGTATACTCATGTAAAATGTATTAGACTTAAAATTTTTTAAGCAAATTTTTAATTATCATAATTTAAATGATTATATGTACATATATAAATCAATTGATATGATAAATATTGGCATTCATAGAAAATAAAAAATAACAATTGGCTTATCATATGATAAATATGTAAATAATGATAAATCTGACATTCATAGAAATAAATTTAAAAAAAAATATAAATTAGAAAATATCAATTAAAATTATCAATTAGCAAATGTAAAATATCGATTAGAAGTTTGTTGACATTTCTTTGAAAGTTAACTTATAACTCTAAAAATTGTAAAATTAATTAGCACTTCTCATTCTTACGCTTAAAACGTGAAGCGTTTAATTTTTGTAAGCGTATAATTTCAATAAAAATTTATAATATTAATATATCAAGAAAAAATTTTTATTCCTATATGAAATAATTTAATGGAAAAGAAGTTAGCATCTTATTATCATATTTAAAGGAGTCTAAATAAGTTGATAGAAATTTAAATTCTTTCTCTTATAATTTCTTTTTTTTTTTTTGTACTTACGTCGAGAAATTAAGGGAGAGAGAGAGAGAGAGAGAGAGAGAGAGAGGGAGATAAAAAGAAAGAAAAACCATTGAAGTATTTCAATTTTTGCTTTAATTTTTTTTTTTTTCACAATCATATGATTTTCAAATCTATAATTAGTTCCATTAATTGATAAATTGTAAAAAAAAAAAAAAAAAAAAAAAAAAAAAGTTATAAGAAAATTGTTTAGAAAAAAGAAAATTTTTTTGAAAACAAAAATCATTGAAAACATTTAAAATCAATTATTTAAAAATAAAATAAATAATAAATGTTAGTGTCATTTCTGTACAAAATTTCATTCCCTTTTTATCTCTTTTCTCAAATATCCTAAAATCATTCAACAAAATGAATTCATTGATTTATGATGGAAAACGAGCTCTCCTTTCTTATGAAAAAGAAAGAAGAGATGATAAAATTTAGTTCATTTGAACATTTAATATCAAACTTTTGCTACCATTTAATTAATGACTAATTTAGAGAGAGAAACTTAAGAAATTAGATAATCCGATGTTAAAATCTGTCAAAATTAAACATTTGTGGTTGAATAAGGTATTACATATTCATTAATGATAATAATGATGTTGATAATGATAATGATAATGATAAAATATGAACAAGTAGAGAAAGAATCACCCCCCATTTAAATTTCACTACATTTGTCAACAAAATTTTCAAAAGAAGAACTATTGCATCAGCTCTTTTTGATAATTTGATTAAATCGTTATGATAAAAATTTAATTTTTTTTTTTTTCTAACATAATACTAAGGTTTATTTTAATTTAGAACTGAATTAAACAAGTTTAATTAGTAATATTATGTAGTATTATTATATTCATTACTTAACTTTTTTTTTTTTTAATAAAATATTTTTAATTTCATGGATATTTCAAAATTTCACCATTTGCATTTCCCCACAGTATGCAATTTGGATAAAAAAAAAAAAAAAATTAATCTAATAGAAAAATCCAATTAATATTCAATGTGACATTTTCTGTTTTCATAAACAGCGATTTGTCATCAAAAAATTTTGGAACATTGTTTGTTTATTATCGTTATTAGAATCAAACAAAATGTGTAAATACATTATTAGAGAAGGCAATTTATCATTTTGAATTATTTTAAAAATAGCTATCAATTATGAGAAAGAAGTAATTATTTCTAACATGCAAATAAAGAAACATTTTCTTTTCTTTTAAAATTGAAATAAAATATTTTAAAATGAATAAATTTTTTTTTTTAGAAAAATTTTGTTCTCATCTGAAAATGCAGAAAAAACAAAAAGTTACATTTATCATTTATATCAATTTACCAATTTATCAATTTATTGTCAACAAATTATCAATTTATCAATTTATCAGTCACTTATATCAATTTATTGAATTTGCTGCTTGCTTTATTGCTAATTGTTATTTGCATTTATTGGTCAGTTAATTAGTTAGTGGCATATAATGACATAATGTACTATTCGGCATTTCCAGCCAAAAAATTACATTCCTGCAAAATTCATCAAATAATAAAGTGAAAAAAAAAATGATTGGTACCATAAATAACATTGGTACCATGTGAACATTCATATTTAATTTTGCATATTCTTTCTCTCTTTCTCTCTCTCTCTCTCTCTCTCTTCTCTCCAATATTTGCTCCAATGAGATTTTGTTTTAAAAACTGCAAATATATGAGAATTAGATGTCGCATGTCGTAGACAATGTCACGTGATTCCTAAACGATCGAACTAACGTGTCACATCAGCCACTATGCTATCATGTCCTTTTATTTATCTCTAAATCTAAATAACACAGATTTTGTTGCTATATTTAAAACAAACATAGAAAATTGGGATAAATTTAATAAACTATATTTTGAGATAACTACTTAGCACAATTAATTAATTAATTGCTTCCTTCAGTATGTGAAACACAAGTCATCAAAATAGATTCAGTGTTATCAGAAAAGAAAGAGCAGTGATAGATATATTTTATTTTGTTAATTAAATTATCAAATGCTATTGGATTCTCATAAATTACGGGAAGCAGAATCTATTATCATAAAGCCAAGTGAAATCTTGTCAAAAAAAAAAAAAAAAAGAAAAAATTATTTATCGTTTTTATAATAGAAATTAAATTGAATACAAGTAACATACATTCAAAAGTTTTTTTTTCGAAAATGTGAATGAAAAATTTTTACGAATGGTTGTATTACAGTGCACCAACCGTCACCAACAAGATAAACCCTTATGCACTGGCAAGATTGGTAACAAATTATTCAAATACTGATAATAATGAACATGGTGATTTGTAGGTTCAATAGAGACACCGACTGCAAGTAGGAAAAATTGTATCACTGATTCTGCAAGATGAAAAATATATTTGTAATTCAAGGAAGTTTGGTCCTTTACCTTTTATAGTTTGGAGATTCCGAATTTCAGGGTAACTGTTTCCTTCTTCATTTGAAATCCGCAAATCATAAAAGTGGAGAGATATAGCATCTTGTCCAGTTAACTAATCAAGTCCAACTATCCTATAAAGTGGGAAACAATGAGACCCAATTTGAGAAAAGTTTTAAAAGAAGTGAGGATCGAAAGTAACAATAACATTCCCAACAAATTTGTATATCATAATTGTAGTCCGATAAGTAAATCGATCATTTTCAGAAGGGAGAGTCAAGCGAACTGTTTCTAAGGAAATTTTAACTGAACTATGACCTTTCATAATGCAGAACCAGAAAGAAGATTAAAAAGCCATTTCAACAGAGAGATAAAATAAAATGTTATGATTACAGACACACATATTAACTTGGTTTGTAGTACAAAAAATTACAAAATTATTCAAATGAAAGAAAAAAAAAACATTTAAAATTGCTGAAAATCTTTTCTCTATTTTGCAAGACAAACAGTGAGTGAATACACCAAATCCCGAAAAGACCCCTGAAATGAACGAACAATCCGGAAACGAAAGATACCAGTGTGGACTGGTCATTCAAAAAAACCTAAGTATTACAAAGAAGGTGAAAAAGGCAAGTGAATAGAAGAAGAAAAAATACTGAGCTGAAAATTGGCAAATAAAAGATACTTTGCACAAAAAAAAGAAAAAAAAAAAAAAAGCTTAAGAGATGATAACAACGGGCATAAACATTGATCGATTGAGAAATTCCGGGAAAGTATTACTATAACAATGATACTTCTCGCAACACAACCATTAAAATTACGTACGAAAGGAAATACAAGAAAAAAAGTGCAGAAAAGAGGAATTACCATTCAGAGAAATAAAGAAATTGTACAAAGTATAAAAGTGGAAATTTAGGGTTGGCAGCATCGTAAGATGCAGAAGGCAAGAAGATATTTATAACAAGAGAATTAAATAAAGGCATTTCAAGAAATCGATAAGGTATAATCGTACTGTTAGATTTCAAAATGCAACAATAAACACCGACTTAACCTGTCGAAGATGATATTAGTACTCGAATCTGAATTTAATTAATATTAAGCATCTACGTCTGAATTCAAATATATATGTGTTATCAAAATTTCCCCCTCTTCAACATCCAAATTTCATGTATCACTACTTCTGCACTCTTTATACTTTCCTGTTATTCTCTTCTTCCAAAAAAAGAAAAAAAAAAAAAAGGGTAAATACCTCTATTTTACTTTCTACATCTTTTAGAACTATGCAATGCTAATTTTTTAAATTAAAAAATTTTTTCTATCAAACTGCTTTATCTTTTAAAAGTACTTCAATAAATCGATTTCATTATTTTATAATAATAAAGGTAATAATAAATAATAACAAAAGTAATAATAATTTATAATAATAAAAGTAATAATAACATTGAAATAAAAAGTTTTTTTATTCATTTCGAAATTATCCAGCAATTTTTTGTTTTTTTTTTAAATCACTTTGTTCAAATGAAAAAAAAAAAATTTTTGATTTCATTCTTTGATATTCAGAAAAGCAAATTTAAACATGAATTAAACCAATCATTTTATTCCATCTTTTAACATTTTTATGACTAAAATTTTTACTCCATTATTTGTATTAAAATAAAAATCATAAATGAATCGTTAACAACAAGCATTTACTTAATTAAGGATTAATCTTAATTTCAAACTATTTTAGACAATTTAAAATAATAAAATTCGTTTAACTCATAAATTAATCTATCAAATACAGTAGTGCATACACTTTTTTAAAATCTTTTTCATTTCATTTAGCAATTTCTCTCGGTTTATCGAAACAAAAACACTAGTAGTATTCTCCAACAATCCAAATACAAAAGCTCAAAATTCCCACAAAAGATGTGGTAACGACCTCGGCAGGAGTCGAACCTGCAATCTTCGGTTCCGTAGACCGACGCGTTATCCATTGCGCCACGAGGCCCGTGCAAACATTAGTTAAAATATTCCAATTATCTTGAAATATTTGTTGATCTTCGATGATGAGTAATCGATTATTGTCATTGAGATAATCCATTCTTTAGTCGTAAGACGTTGTTGTTGCATAGTGTACTGTTACGTGACGTCAGAGCTGCGTTATTTTGTAGTTCCTGAAATATAGACCAGTTCTAGGTGTATGTGCACTCTATTGAATTGGTAAGTTTCGCGTCCGTTGCGCTTTGTACTTCATCAATTTCTATCCTTTGCAATATTTTATCATGTTTAGTCTTAGACTTGAATAAATTCACCTTTATTTCTAATTAGTATTATATGTTAATTTTGTTAACTTAAATATATTTAATTATAATTGGAAAAAAATTTTTTTTTTTTAAATAAGTAAACAAAACATTATAATTGTTAGAATATATCATATGTTTTTTTTTTTTTTTTCTTTTTTTTTTTTTTTTTTGTATTTGTCCTTATTATGCCCTTGAAATATAATCTTATTTCATATTAATTTAAGGGGTTTTTATGTCCCGTTGTCGACGTACCCATCGCATGGTTATCAAAAAGTAAGTTCATTTTTATTGTTAAAAAGCAGTCCAATTTAATGGTCTAATATCTCTGATATAAGTTATTACTGGCATTATTTAGATCATGAGGCATTTTTATTTCGATGATTAAGTAAATAAAAAGGAATGAATTAATTTTATTACTTGATGAATTTGATTCAGGATTTTACAAGTGGATTGTAATTACATTCTATTAGTTTTTCATTCTAAGTTCTATTTTGTATATATATGCTACGGCATAAAATATGAATTGATAAATAATGGAGCTTTGAGGTTTGTATGTATTTTGATCTAGTAAGTATGCTGCAGTTTATGAAGAAGCAAGCGACAAAGTTCTCCGTGTCTTTAATGGATTTAATGGTTTCGTACATTTTAGAGACGATTTCGATGTTGCGAATAGATCCGGATCAGTAATGAAAGCAGATTCCGATGAAGTAATTTATTTCTTAATCATGGGTTTATTAATACTAAATATAATGGTCACCAATAGTTGTTAAATATTTCTGTCTATCTTTTTTATTTCCGTGATATCGACTTATATGTAGTACGAATTATTCACTTATTTAAATCAATTGTACATGTTTTATGTTATATATGTAAGCTTTGGTTTAGGGATGTTATTCGGGTGAAAATGGTCTAACCAATGGTAATAATGATGCTGATGAAGAAGTATCGAGCTTTTTTGCAAACCAAATTTTAGGCAGTATTTCTAGATTGCTTAGTGCTAATAGTCAAGCAGGTATAGTGCCTCATGTTATATTTGTGGGATTGCGAAATTTTAATTTTTTGAAATGAATAGAAGGTCCATATGCTTCAAATTTAATGAATCATACCAACCTTCACATAATAAATTGTCCTGAGTTATTGTCACTGGACAGTATTGCTGTTTAGATGGGAAACGTGCCGCCTCTACCGCAATCGATAACAGTTCTGAAAGTGATGAAATTCCGAGCGTTTTCGAGAATATATTCCATGAGCATGTTGAGGTTAACCCTTTCATAGTAATTCTATAAGATAAGGCTAAGTGATTCATTGACGATTTATAGAATTTATGAAGTTTTTATGCTAGTGCACATTGCTTTGATTATGAAACAGTTTACAGTTTTTTACATTAAACTAGATTTAATTTAATGCATTAATTTAGAGCCCTTTTAACGAAACAGGAGCAAATGATTTGGATGGACCAAAAGCAAAAAGGGCCCGAGATGATTTGGGTAATGCAAGAGGTATTTTTTAAAAATAATTTTTACGTACTGTTCATCATATTTGTTTTGATATTATTTTTTCTTCTATTTCGTCTTTTTATTATGTTTATTACACTAAATTTTTGATTTGGGACAGCGTCTTGAGACTGTTTAATCAATTAGTTCAAGTAAGATTTATAGGTTTTAGCTTTATCACATATATTCTTCAGAAGACTGGCCGACAAAGGAATCAGGAAGTAGTATGACAATCCCGATGCCGATGTGTATCCGTTTGGTAGAACTGTATAGAAGATGTCGAGGTTGCTTGTTTTATTTTAATTAGTTTTAGCCTTTTTTTTTATTGTCGCATTTATGAGTGATATCACATTTCTTCATTTGAAGTTTAAATATTAAAAATTGAACTAATTGAGAATTTGTATTTCCAAATAATCCATAATAATATTCCAGCATTTCTACGAACATTCAGTCAGAAAAAGGAAGATCGTAAAGCGCGCCATCAAATGTGGGATGCAATTGATGCCCGCCTTTTTGAGGAGTTCGGAATTCATTCTGGCGTGAACAGATTAAAAAAGAAAATACAAAACATACAAGCTGGAGCTCGAGGGAAAATCGAAGCTCTGCGGTGAGCATATTTCATGAAGCAAAATGATAGATGGGAGATATAAAAAATTTGATTTTCATTTCATCAATTTTTCAGACGAGAAACGAGTAATGGTATAGTACCACAAGATACGAATATTAGATTCACGCCAGCGGAAATGGAAATGGTTCGAATGCTCTATCAGAATGGCGATAAAGTTCTAAACACGGTAAATGAAAACAACGAGCCCTTTTATATGCAACTGGAAGCGTTGATGAGACGTGAAAGTAATGAAAAGAAAATCCAGTTACTTGAAAATGGGCAGTTAGGTGGGTCATTTCTTCTTGTTGATATAGCTTGGCACGCACAATAACTATAGTTATTTCCATTTAGATATTCCAAAAGTAGTTGATTTTACCATACAGAGACATAATAATTCAGTTTTTTCTTTTTTTTTTTTTTTCAGCAGTGGCAAATAATCGTTACAGTACGGTGTAGCTTTGGAATACCTGAAAATTTTCCAGTGTTAAGAAAGTCCAGTGAACTGGAAAACTAGTTAAATTTTGTTAAATCTTAGTTTATTTTTCTCTCATGCAATTTATTTTCAGAAAGATCACCATCTTCATCAAATGCAAAACCAGTAATTTACCCACAGATGTTAATTAACCAAGCTGTTCAGAATGGTACGTTTGCTACAAAATTGAATCTGATTTTCCATTTCTGATTTTTGGTCGTTTGCATTAAATTTTACTGGAAAATAAAGGTAGAGGTAGTAGCGATAATATTTGCTGTACAACTAATTTTGCATAATATGTGTGTCTAGAGTATTCAGTGGAGAGTTTTAAGTGCTGACTATCGTTATAAATTATTGATACCACATTTTAACTTTCCAAGTAATTCTAGACTGGATTGCTCATATTGCTTGCAGTGCGTGCACTTCTATAATGAATTTATTTAAAAAGGCAGCACATTTTCCCTATAAACCATCGATTAGTTGTTAGTAACTACAAAATGTAGGTCATTGTCTGGAGGGCTGCACATTCTTGTTAGTGTTCCTTCACACAAATGAATGCAAAGGCAGTGAATGTCGAAGTAAAACTGATTTTGAAGGAAATACGTTAAAAAAATTGGAACATTAGGCATATTGTTAATTTACGGTATTTAGGTAATAAGAAGCATGTATCACAAGTTACGAAAGAGCCGCAGGCAATGTTCAACAGTGTGAGTTGCATAGCAGAACCAAAAAATTCTCCGGTAGGCAATTTTCAAATGTAGATTTTAATTTATTTTTAGCTTACTGTATTTGACTTACCGCATCATTTAGATTAGACTGAGATATAGCTTTGTCTTACTTTGTTTGATGCTGATTTTTATAATTCGCAAATTATTTGTTGAGTTTCTTTATTTGTACGATTTTATAGTTATGAGATGGTTGTAAAAATTTATAGTTATGAGATTTTATAGTTATGAGGTTGTAAAAATTTTTGATCAAATTAAAACATGTCTTTTAGATTGTAAGTTTATTTTCTAAACCATTTGATGTTCTTTCTGCTGCTACACATTTCCCTAAAACGGATACAGTTCCAAGTAGTAATGGAGGACACGAATTAGCGATTATGACTGAATTGATTGCCAGACAAATAAATGTTTTAAAGGTTATCATATTTATTTCTTTTCACTTTTTACACTATATATCTAAGGTTATTTGTATTTATATCGTCTTGAGCACAGTATTTGCTACTGAAAACATGGAGTCGTTTATATCATGCAGCTGGTTTTTACTGAATAATTTATTTATTTGTTTTTTCTCTGATTTCCTTAATCCAAATTTATGGAAATTGCAAAATTTGCTAATTTGTATTCGTTTTATTCATCTTACGAACTATGAGAATAAACATGAAAATTATGGCATTATGACAGGTTTTTGTCTTTTTTCTTGTAAACTTTTGAGTATAGTTTAATTTGAAAGATTATGTTTTATTCGGTTATTGAATTTGTCCAAAAACGAAAAAAAAAATTACAAAGATGAATTTTTTCTAAGGATTTATCTTCGTATTTGTTGCTTAATGCATATGCAAGGCAATGTGTCAAGATAAGGTAAGTTTGTGATAACATTCATTCTTACTCATTATTTAGTAATTGTTATTTTCGACAGTATCTGAAATGCATTTGTTTTCGTATTTCAGCGACAGGAGGAGCTTCAGCGTCGTGCTGAGCTTCTTTTCGAACAGCAATTAGCACGTGAATCGAAAATTGTGGATAGTATTGCATCACTTACTAAAGCTGCGTCTCATCTTGAACAAATTGGAGAATTTCTACTTAATACTTGTCGCTACGGTAATATTAATGGTGACACGTCCAGTCCAAATAACTCATAAACTTTTCATATATTACTGCTCTTTTAAAGTTGGCTATGTTCGTAAGAATTTGAGTCGTTGAGAAATTAGCAGATGTAAGATTTGTTTAATGCAAAATTTTTTTTATGTTTTGGAATTTTTTATTCATTGCTGGCCAGCAGTTTGTGCTTTTTTTTTTTTTTTTTTTTTTTTGTAAATAAGCGTTTTATTTTGAATCTCTCGATTGTAATCTTGATTTTTAACTTTGTTTGTTTGGAAAAAAGTATATATATGTCTTGTAATTATTTGGATTACGAAAGAAACTAATTTTTCAAAATTCCTTAAAATTCGTGCGTGAACGTGCATCGATTTCTCTGTTTATTATCTTCATCTTGGGTCATTTTTTTACACTTTTATGGTTCAGTTATTTCATTCTTGTTAAATACCCCATATCCCTGGAACGTTTTTTCTTACTTGTTGAAATTTTGGAAATTCTTTTTTTTTTAAAAGATTTCGTATTCTACTTTTTTACCTTTTTTCTCAATTCTTTTTCGTCTTATTGTTGTCGTCACTTCAGAAAGCTACTTTGAATGTCACTTATTGGTTTTACAATTATGTTGCTCGATGATGACCCACTTAAATTGGTTGTAATTATTTATATTTCATCCTCAAAGTTTTACTTACTTCTATTCTTCTAAAGATCTAGAGTGCCTTTTGTTCACTTTTTTAATTCTTTCTCAGAAATAATTTTAGCGCCTTCCTTGCCTTTTGTGGTAATTAAAATTCTTTATTTTTTCCTACCTGGCGAAGAAGTTTTAGAAGCTCTAATATTTCTAACTAATTTCCTTGCGTAATGTCATTTGTTAATGGCTTAATTCTTCCTCTTAAAACATGAAACTTCCATTTCAACTTCCATTTCTATTCTTTTCATTTATACTACATTACTACATTCACTTTTTAAACATAGTATAGTCCTAAAAGATGTAGAAAGTAAAATAGAGGTATTTACCCTTTTTTTTTTTTCTTTTTTTGGAAGAAGAGAATAACAGGAAAGTATAAAGAGTGCAGAAGTAGTGATACATGAAATTTGGATGTTGAAGAGGGGGAAATTTTGATAACACATATATATTTGAATTCAGACGTAGATGCTTAATATTAATTAAATTCAGATTCGAGTACTAATATCATCTTCGACAGGTTAAGTCGGTGTTTATTGTTGCATTTTGAAATCTAACAGTACGATTATACCTTATCGATTTCTTGAAATGCCTTTATTTAATTCTCTTGTTATAAATATCTTCTTGCCTTCTGCATCTTACGATGCTGCCAACCCTAAATTTCCACTTTTATACTTTGTACAATTTCTTTATTTCTCTGAATGGTAATTCCTCTTTTCTGCACTTTTTTTCTTGTATTTCCTTTCGTACGTAATTTTAATGGTTGTGTTGCGAGAAGTATCATTGTTATAGTAATACTTTCCCGGAATTTCTCAATCGATCAATGTTTATGCCCGTTGTTATCATCTCTTAAGCTTTTTTTTTTTTTTTCTTTTTTTTGTGCAAAGTATCTTTTATTTGCCAATTTTCAGCTCAGTATTTTTTCTTCTTCTATTCACTTGCCTTTTTCACCTTCTTTGTAATACTTAGGTTTTTTTGAATGACCAGTCCACACTGGTATCTTTCGTTTCCGGATTGTTCGTTCATTTCAGGGGTCTTTTCGGGATTTGGTGTATTCACTCACTGTTTGTCTTGCAAAATAGAGAAAAGATTTTCAGCAATTTTAAATGTTTTTTTTTTCTTTCATTTGAATAATTTTGTAATTTTTTGTACTACAAACCAAGTTAATATGTGTGTCTGTAATCATAACATTTTATTTTATCTCTCTGTTGAAATGGCTTTTTAATCTTCTTTCTGGTTCTGCATTATGAAAGGTCATAGTTCAGTTAAAATTTCCTTAGAAACAGTTCGCTTGACTCTCCCTTCTGAAAATGATCGATTTACTTATCGGACTATAATTATGATATACAAATTTGTGTATTTGTTGGGAATGTTATTGTTACTTTCGATCCTCACTTCTTTTAAAACTTTTCTCAAATTGAGTCTCATTCTTTCCCACTTTATAGGATAGTTGGACTTGATTAGTTAACTGGACAAGATGCTATATCTCTCCACTTTTATGATTTGCGGATTTCAAATGAAGAAGGAAACAGTTACCCTGAAATTCGGAATCTCCAAACTGTAAAAGGTAAAGGACCAAACTTCCTTGAATTACAAATATATTTTTCATCTTGCAGAATCAGTGATACAATTTTTCCTACTTGCAGTCGGTGTCTCTATTGAACCTACAAATCACCATGTTCATTATTATCAGTATTTGAATAATTTGTTACCAATCTTGCCAGTGCATAAGGGTTTATCTTGTTGGTGACGGTTGGTGCACTGTAATACAACCATTCGTAAAAATTTTTCATTCACATTTTCGAAAAAAAAACTTTTGAATGTATGTTACTTGTATTCAATTTAATTTCTATTATAAAAACGATAAATAATTTTTTCTTTTTTTTTTTTTGACAAGATTTCACTTGGCTTTATGATAATAGATTCTGCTTCCCGTAATTTATGAGAATCCAATAGCATTTGATAATTTAATTAACAAAATAAAATATATCTATCACTTCTCTTTCTTTTGTGATAATACTAAATCTATTTTGATGACTTGTGTTTCACATACTGAAGGAAGCAACTAATTAATTAATTAATTAATTGTGCTAAGTAGTTATGTTGCATTTTGTCTCAGTATGAGAAAACAGTTTATCAGAGCCAGTAATAAAGCGTTTTCTCAATTTCCATCCAATAACGTCTCGCTTCTTTACAATCTGCAATTGTAGTGACAGCAAAAGTGAGTTGAGCAAGAGGACCGATGGCATTTTGACATAAGTTAACATTTTTGTTGATCAATATGCTATAAAGATTAACAAATTATGTTAAACTCATCAGGAATTGGTTCCACAAAATACTAGGAAGAGGAAGTGTATGAGAAGTGTTAGCATGCTTGGTATCACTCATTAAATATAGTTAAAAGAAATGGAAAAAGTGTGATTTTTCTTGAAGTGTTTTCACCATTAAAAATTTGAAAGTAGATCACCTAATAGTATCAGTTGGAATTATCTTCAGTTATCCAACAAAAAATTCCTATTAATTAAACATTTTCGATATTTTAAAATGGACTAAAATGAACGTAACGAAACCGGTGTACAATATGACAATTGATAATGTTCAGAACGATTGTAAAAAGCAGTAAGAAACTAAAAATAAAAAAATGAGAAAAAAAAAAAAAAAAAGGTAGAAAACTCTATAATTACTTAGATGTGAAGATATTATGTTAGAAATTCTTTCTGCGTGGGAGATGATGGGAAGTCATTCTGCGTAAGAGATAATATGGAATACAAAGCAACATTTCAATTTTTTGATTAACATTAAATGTTCAAAAAAAAAGAAAGAACTAAATTGCTTATGATTATTGTATATCTGTTTTCTAACACAGGTAATTTATATAGAGTGTCTATAAACATTTAGATGAGGAGAATGAGTTAATAACAGCGTCTCTTATCTACATCACAACAAGTAGCGCTTCAATTTTTTAGTTCACGTCCTGTAGGTTATTCGCCCTAAATGTTCAAAAAAAAAAAAAAACGGTGAAAACAATAAAAATTAAAATGCTTGTAGTTATATGTCTGCTAACACAGATAATTTATGTATGTAGAGTACAAAACTCTACAAATATTTGGATGTTGAGATTAAACAGTGTCTTTTATCTTCCGTACGAGAAGATATAGAATATGACCGGACCGGTGTTTTTAATTGTCACACTTGCTCTAAATTTTTTTTTTTTCAAAAAAAAAAAAAAAACGATAAAAACAAAAACTAAAATGACTGCAGTGATAATAATTTTCTAATACCTAAATTATATAGAGTGCAAAATTCTACAAATATTTAGATGTGAAGATTGAGTTAGCTATATCTCTTATCTACAGAAGAGAGAGATATTAGTCTAACCAGAGCCTTAATTTTATGACTGGCATCACGGCTCTCCACTTGCTCCAACAACCTTATAAGGCAATGAAAAATGAAAAAAAAAAAAAAAGTGAAACAAATTGCTGAAGGTGTTTGTTAATTCCCGAAGACTTATTAGACGGGATATGCGCTTACAATTTCTATAAGAAATTGCGAAAAAAAAAAGTGAAATAAATTGCTGAAGGTGTTTGTTAATTCCCGAAGACTTATTAGACGGGATATGCGCTTACAATTTCTATAAGAAATTGCGAAAAAAAAAAAGTGCAACATAATTGCAAACTAGTTCATTTAAAAAGTTCAACGAAACAAGGAAGTACTTCTTGCTAATTGCCCCTTACAAGTTTGAATACGGATTAATGATGGACGATGTAGTACAGATGTATATATAGATATGTACATTCTACAACTGGATTAAGAATAGTCCTATTGCAGTGGATCATCACTAACTTGAGAAAAGTGTGTAAACTATCGCTGTTGCGACAATGCGACATAGTAATAAGTAGGAAGAACATAAGAAGATTGTGAAGTGGGTGTTTGATTCATCATGCCTGAAGTATTATTACTCCTTGGTAATACCGTTATATTTCTTGTATTATTCATCCCAATATTAAACATGGAATTTTCTCCCATCATCGTTGATGAGAATGGATAATTTTGGAAGTAGAGTTGTGCAGTTGGATCAAAATGAGGTGCATCTTCAGGATGAGGTATTGTTGGTAGTGAATCTTCATGTTCTCGTTCTTGTTCATGTTCGGATATAAAGAACAGTCTAGGATCCTGTGCATTACATTTTGAAACATGAATCATACTAGTTCCAGATGATGTCGCCGTTGAATTGCCATTTGCGTGAGATTTTTGCATAGGATCCAGATCTTTATAGTCCAAAACTTCATGTGCTTTCTGCAAAGTAACATTAAAGAATCCTCCTACCATTCTACCAAAGTGTGATTATAGATGAACTTTAAAAGGAAAAAATGATTATTTCATGTCATTCGTAGTACGCATGTTTCGTAACCACGAGTTTCTATATCATATTTATCTTTTAATCGTCAAAACACTGAAAAGGGAATTTTTGACACAGCAAGTAAATTTCATAAAGAAAAAAAAAATTTCATCAACTAACATCAAAATAATCCTGCAAAGCTTTGCTTTGTCGAAGCACTGGATGATTAAGTATGTAATTCATGAAAGTTGTTATTGATAACGTTCTTTTACCCACAACTTGAGCACTTTGATTTCCAAAAATCACTCCTTCTGCAAACTGTGGGAATGAACCATGTAGATGTAACTGAAAAAGAAAAAAAAAAAAGTTTCCGTAAGATTCGTTCAATTACAGAAAGTGGAATGCATATAAAACACACAAATTTCATTCTATAAGTTGCTGAAAGAAGTCTCAAAAATACATGAAGCTAAATAAAGTACATAGTGCACTGAACAGCTAAAATTAGATGCTCGAAAGAATGGAAAATCAAAAGGTGACTTTAAAAGTTACAGTATTTTACAAGAAAAATTAGGAAGTTCATACCCTTTTGTGTAAGTCACCTAACTGTTCCCAAAGACGTTTCACATCTCTAAAGCGTGTCCACATATCGAAGAATCGAATGTCAGCTGCAACGGAATTGCACGGTATCGCCTGAAAAAAAGCTGATAAGCAAACAAGCAACAATTAAAAAGAAATAATTAAAGAGTAATACCAAAAAACAAAAGATAATATAATATAGTGTCCATTACTTCTTTTGGAAGACACTGTAAATCTATGGTTTCAGAAATGTTAAATCGCAGAGGGAGAGAGAGGGAGAGCAAAAGATAGGCACTGAGACAGTCATTTGTTCACTTGATTCTCTTAATTGATTCCTCTCAATTTTTCTCTCAACAGATTATCTTTAATTTAAAGTATGATTCTTATTCTGGCCCGAAATGCCGACTTTTATTTACTTTTTCCGCTAAATATAACCAATCTCATGCCATTCACTACGATCACCTGTTCGGTTAGTTATATATGTCTCATATCTCATATCCAGTTTATATTGTTGCATTTCGTTTATTTAACATAGCAGCTATCCTGTTCGAACCATTTCCGGTTAAATAAAATTGCAAAAAAAAAAAGAAACACTTACACAAAGTGCCATTTCATATTCGGTATGTGAAGTAAAGAAAGTCGAAACGTTCTTTGTATCAACGATATTTAAATGGACATCCCAATCCTTCGGACTTGCATAAAGGATGCGTCCTAGATCACTGTTACAACAGTTCACATCGCTAAGTAATATTGGCATGATGTCCAACTGTAATCCTCCTAAAAAAAAAGAAAAAAAAAAAAATCATTTTTTTTTTTGAAAAAGTACTGATTCTATTAAATCCTAAAAAGAACTTCACTGATTAAGAATGATGATTACAGAGATTGTCTAAAGCAACTAATACATTTTACCACCAGCCAATGATATGTGTACTCTACATTATTCCTTATTTATAAAATTATACTTCAACAGAAATACATGATGAAAACACTAAAAAAAATTTGCAAACCGACAGTGAATGTTATCCTCAATGAGTACCAAATTGGATACAGTTGGACTGTAATGTAATCTGAAATTAAAGTTAATTCGAGAATGTTATATGCCATGAATTGCAAACAAATATTTTAAAATAAAAGAAATATTTTAAATTAACCCTTTCTAAGGACTGGAAAAGTTCACCATACAACGTCAGAAAACAAGACAACAGTGTACAATTGATGTATATTCATTTTTTTTTTTTTAAATACTGAGAAAAACTATGGAAAAACCACGCCATTATTTTTGGAGCATACAAAGTACAATAAAAGGTAGTTGAAATATAGAAAATTGACAATATATGAAGGGGAAAAAAATGAACACAATGCAAAAAGAGGATTACAGAGGAAAATTGTTAAGATTCTAAATGATAAAATTAATTAGTAAATAGCTTAATGACAATATTTAATTGTCGAAAATTTTAGAACAGAAAACCGGGACGAATAAACCTTTCACAGACAAAAAATGTTTCACAGCATAATAAACAAAAACCCTTTTAAGACTTTCACAGTATAATAAATTTTGAAAAATAATTAACCACACTTGAATAAAACTAGCGGATAAACACAGCAAGAAAAAAAAAAAAAAACTTCATGGCTATCTGACTGCCAGTAATGAAAATAATGCAAATGGTAATTTAAATTGCCAATAATGAATCACACAAGGTAGAAATGGATGAAATATGCACTTAGTATACAATAAGGACTCACAATGCGAAGAGATTTGACAATATTGATAAAAAAAAAGAAAAGAAATCTATAAACACAAGAAAATTACACAAAAATATACGAAAAAACATATGAGGAGAAACCGAAGGCGAATGAAAGTACAAAAATTTACAAACAAGCAAAGTGATGCAAATGACAGTCTAACTGCCAGTAATCTGAAAAAGGTGAATGATGTTTTGAAACTCATTGCAAATACTGTCATAATTTATTTGCAATTTACTGCAAAATAAATATCCTTATTTTTTCATTAATTGCTTCTCCACCAATCATTTCGCCAATTTAATAAGAACACAACTATTTGAAGCAAACAGTTAATCAGTTTCAGCAATAAGCAGAATTAGATTATGATCTTACAACTATTATGCGTCACTTTCTCACAAAGCATCATGCTTGTGTATTAATGCACGACCTTTGTCTTGTTTACTTCGTCACCTGAATCTGTTAGAAAGACATCATCCACCGAAGGGTACTAATTCTAAAACTATAAAATTCTGATGTAATTTCCTAAAAGAAAATTTCACTGATCACTGCTGGTTTATCGATCAATTTCTCCGAAAACAAGGTCCAAAGTACCAATAACCGCTACAACATCCGATAACATTGACAAGTGACATATGTCATCAATTGCAGCAAGATGTGGAAATCTGAAAATGCAAAAAAATATGCTCAATCAAAATTAAACATTGAAATTTGTAAAACTCTTCAATTAAAAAAAAAAAATACCCAGGTGATCGAGCAAAACATCGATAAGGCTTTGATTCACCGTGTGATACCAAATAAACACCAAATTCTCCTTTGGGGGCTTCAACTGGAACATAAGTAGCACCGGGTGGTACCTGATAACCTTCAGTGTAATATTTGAAATGGTGTATCAGCGATTCCATATTTTGCTAAAATATTATATTTAAACTATATAAAGCAAATTTAATCCATATCATTGTATCATTATAGCTTAAATATTTATCACGATGTAATTAGAACGAACTTTATACATTTCAATCATAGCTAGCATGAATTCAATTTTACCTTCATTTCAGCACGTTTAGGAGGAACCACTTTATGATCGTCAACTTTAATTTCACCAGCAGGCATCTTATTCAAACATTCAAAAATAATTCTCACACTTTCCCGCATTTCTTCCATTCTTATTAAATATCTGCAAAGATAACGATAAAAAATATACTATATAATATGATTAAAATTTCAAATATGTTGGACACATTTACCTATCGTAGCAGTCTCCTTTTACACCAATAGGAACGTCGAAATCCACTTGATCATACGCATCATACGGTTGTGCTTTACGTATGTCCCATTTAATACCGGATCCTCGAAGCATAACACCAGAAAAGCCCCAAAGCAAAGCATCCTCAGCTTTAACAAGTCCGATGTCTACAGTTCTTGACTAAATACAACGAAGAAATTACGTCGAATAATCCCAAATCTATAGCATTTTTAAAGTTCAAATGCTGAAAAGAAAAAGAAAAAAAAACAAAAATACCATGAAGATGCGATTGCCTGTTAACAGATCTTCCATCATATCCAGTCTCTGTGGAAACCTTAATGCCCAATCGTATACATCATCCATCCAACCAAGTGGTAAATCCCATGCAACACCTCCTGGACGCACATAATTTGAATGCATTCTAGCACCGCACGCCCGCTCACTTTAAATCAAAAAATTATTATAATGTTATAAATAACAACCAAAAATTCGAAACAAATTGCAAAAAATTAGTACCATCCAGCATTACTGAATCATTACTGAAGCTACTTTTTTGGAATGAGCCAAAGCAATGTTCAGAAAAACAAATTGTACCATAACCTCCTATAATAAAACTTCAATTTTTGCGTTATCTAAAGCCAGGAATCATATATAATATTCAAAGAAAAATAAACAAGATTAGAATTTAATATAATTCATTTCTTACGTAAATTCAAACATCTTTTCACGTTCTTCAAACATCCAAAATAAAGGAGTCATCGCACCGACATCCAAAGCATGTGTTGTCACACCCATCAGATGATTTTGTATACGAGTAAGCTCATTCATCAGAGCTGCAAATATCTAATTATTAATTATTAACATAATTGTTAGTTTATGTCAGCCTATGTCAAAAATTACCAAATAGTCCGATTAACAGAAAATATCTATGGGTGAGAAATTTTTATTTCCTATACACATACAAATCAAGAATTTCAAACAAACCTAATATCTTGAATTGGCAATATCAAGAAAAAAAAATATCTGAGGAATGTGAACAGAATGAGAATGAGCTACATCACAGACTACGATATATTATTCATTAAATTATAATTAAAAAAGAAAATATTCGAAAGGAAAAAGAGACTTCTGATAAATTTAGCTCTTGGCGGAATATCAATTCCTAATAATTTCTCAACAGCAAGTGCAAATGCTGTTTCGTTACACATCATCGATACGTAATCCATGCGATCGAAATATGGCACGGCTTGGGTATAAGTCTTGTATTCGATTAGCTTCTCTGTACCACGGTGCAAAAGACCAATATGTGGAGTCGCCTTCATTACCATCTAGAGACAAAGATATAATTTGTCAAAATTCACTGACTTTTGAATCCCAGCTTAAAAAATAAAAATCCCCTATATTAAGTAAAACGTGGTTATCTGACAGAATTTATGAGTGTTTAGCACAACAGAAATGTATACAAAATTCAGATCCATATTTAAAGTTAAATAAAATTTATAACGATACTTCATTGTCCAACTCGAGTATGAGACGAAGAACACCATGTGCCGCTGGATGCTGCGGTCCAAAATTCAATAAGTAATAATGCAATGGCTTTTCATGCATTTCAGTTAAGTCAGACACAACAGGCTGCCAACTTGATTTCTCAAATACTTGATCAATTCCAACATTTTTTTCATACTCTGTTGGTTTAGGCATCCATACTCGTCCAACAACACTTGCTTTCTGAAAAATACATGCTACAAATGAAGATTTAAGGTGCTAAAACTTATTCGCAATAAGACACATATAAAAGTTTATGTTCCGCCAAGCAAATATAAATTACATCCAAGAAATATTTTTCTTCTAGTCGAATCAGGAAAAAAGTACAGCTTATATATATCTAGTAGCACTCTTTCAAATTTTAATTAAAATAAGATGACCTTGAATTCATGCATAAATTCGGCATCAGGAAACCACAAATTATGCGAACCACGTTTTCCAAATGATAAGGTACTTGGTGCTGATCGAGTTATTTGGGTTAGTAGGAATCTGGCCTGGCCCACTGCACTCATTTTCAGTTCAGCCTCTGTAATTCATTTATATCATTTGATCAATAATTACACTTACATGATTTGATCAATAATTAAGCTAATCTAATATCATACATTTTATCTAATAAGCTTACATATTCGAAATAGTGTAGTCTTATGTACTGCTTCCTCTATAAAATTACGAAAAAAGAAAAGAATCAAAGTATGTAATTAATCAAACTACATATAAATCTTATTTAAGGAATATACTATTATATTTAGTGGACATCTGACTGATAGTCTTCAGTTATTATTATTATTATTATGAATGATAGCCTTCAGTTATTATAAATTGCAACTTCACAAAACAATTAATTAACAACCAAAATTGATGATTGCTATATAATTTTGATTTTGATACGTTTATTGTAAATTTTCATCATTATGAAATACGTGTATGTATATTCAGGGCGCCATTTCCTACATATTAGAATCAGGTTTTCTTTCCGGATAATTTAAATTAGGTTAAAAATCATCAGCATTTCAGCTAATAATACAAAATACGCAAGAATCTACAAAGACATCAATATCTTCTGAATATTCCTTTTCTTGTAGTAATAAAGAGAGAATTTTCTACACTTAGAAAGTGAAAAATTTTTTGAAGGAAAGAATTCAATACATGTATTCAGTAATCCGTGTAAAACGATGTGATAAAATTTACGTTTTACATGATATACGTGAAAAATTCACGTATAA